ATCACAAAAAAAAAATTCTAGAGCAATTAAGAAAAATTATCAAAAGAATGTATTTTTAAAATAATATACAAGAAAAAAAAAAGTTTTCATATTAGAACCAAATTAAGAAAGCTTCAAAAAACATATGTAATAATCTCAAATCCAATTAGAAATGAATGCTAAACTCAGTCTTAAATTGTAAAAAACCTAGAATTACATTAAACTGGATACTAACCAAAAACTAAAAAGGAAGAGACTATATTGCTACTGATTTTCAAACCATCAGAAGCAAGGTTAAAGAATATCACAAAAAGGTTTTTAAAAAAAAAAATACTAATTTTTAAAGTCTTAATCTCTTCTGAAAAAAAGAATATCAATCCAAGAAATGAATTGATTCAATATAATATTTACTATTAATAGAAGAAATCAAAGTAGAAAAGCTTAAATCTACTTTGGAATTCTTTCTAAACAACAAAACTGCTGATCCCTTATACATCAGCTATAAAATGCTTAAGTATTTAGGTGTTAAAAAAAAAAAAACTTTATATCTTCTTTTTAACAAAGTCTTAAGTATAAATCAGATACCTAGAAAATGGAAAAGCAGTAACATCTATCTCATTCCTAAATCCAAGTCCTGAAAATATGATTTGAGTAATACAAGATCTATCGTTCTTCTAGAAACAGTTTGAAAATGCTTTACCAAGATCTTTATTAATTAACTTTTAACTATCTATAAGCAATACAAAATTCTAAAAGGTCCAACTTTGTCAGTCTACAAGAAGAAAGTACAACAGAGCCCATCTATCTACTGAATAACATCTATAAAGAAGTCAGAGAAAAGAAAAAAGAACTATGAATCTTCTTTTAAGATACTATCAAGACATATGACACAATATCTCTTTATATGCTTGAAAAGGCTATAGATCAGATTTGAATTCTTACAATCATCAAGAAGATTATAATAGATCTTTTTAAAAATAGAAGTTGTAGTATTATCCTTTCTAATAAACTCTCTAATCCAATAGTGGCAATGAATAGTATAAATCAAGAAAAAACAATTTTTCCACTATTATGAAGAATTTTTTACAATTTATTGTTATATAAAATTCAAAACAATGGCAACCTAGGTTATTCTATAGAAAAAAAATAGTTATCCAATTTCAACAAATCTGAGAAAAAGTTAAGCTCTCTTTAAGGCAGGCAGTAATTGCTTATATGAATGATACAATCTGGATTATCAAATTAAAAAAAGATCTGAAAAAGATCTTGGAAGAAGCAAAAAAACTCTATATAGCAAATGATTCTCAGATTAATATAAAAAAGTCAATTTTTCTTATCAGAATCCTCAAGTTTCTAGAACTATTCAAACTGAAGCAAAGGGTATTATACGAAGAATCAGGTTAGATTTCTTGATATTTGACTAGAATCAAAACAAAAGAATAAGAATATCATTAATCTAATAAAATTAAAAATCAGGATTGTAATTTAAGCAAAACTAAGAAAAAGTTGACTGAAAAACATATCCGATATATTATTAATAAGATTTTAATTCCAAGAATAGAATATAGAATGCAATACACATATATAAATAAGAAGATATACAATGAGCTCAATACTTTAGTCTATAAAACAATTTCAAATGGTTATATTTATAACAAAGAAATATATGGTTTCAAGAATATCTGAGAAATACAATCCAAAAAGTCACATCTCTGATATTACTATCATAATTAAACTAAAATAGAGTCAAATTAAATATTGAGAGCCTGATAATATTCTAGAGAATTCTATTAACTCTTAGAAGTTAATTAAAGAAAATTTGGTAACTATAATACTGACCTTGATGAAAAATATACAAATAATATTTCAAAGTTAAAGACGGAAAAAAATATTTGATTATTAGAGAGGTATCCTAAATCATCAATTTAATATTACAAGATAATAAAGAATATGAAAATATCTTTCCATTACTACACAAATATAAAATCATATTTCTAGATTAGCTTATTAATACTACTATAATAATACTTAAAGAATAGAGAACAATTCAAATTCTCTTTAGTAGATATAAGGGATCAGTTCCCTAGTAATATAAAAAAGTTCATAAAAAGGTAACAATAAATCAAGATCTCTTATTAAACTCTTTACATAGATTTGAATAAACAGTTTATAATATATAGACTAAAATATTTTCAATAAGCCTAGATAGAAGAAAAATATATTGGTTAATCTAAACTAATACTTCAACAGACATATTAAAAAAGACAATATTTATAAATAACTAATTCCACTTCAGATCATATCAGCTAGTATATGACTTTGCTAACAATTATACTCATCTATAACAGTATAATTAGTAGAAGTAGTTCCATTACAAGTTCATTTTTATCAATAACTAAACAAATATAACAATCTGAGAAAAAGAAAACAGATCCTTCTATCAGGAAATCCTATAGACTATCAGATAGATACATATAACCAAATAGTAACTCAATCAAGTATTAGACCTATAGAAGTAGAGATTCAAGTGAAAGACTAGGATATCACATTTAAACAGAAGAATATAAAGATGAACTTATAAATATTCTGAAATATAAGTGAAAGAATATAGTTAATTAGCTTATTTTTTACATTGATGACTCCTATAAAAAAGTAATAATAGACTGTGAACTCAAGATAAATTTAGCTTGGATCTTAGTAAAGAATAACAAAGTGATTAAATAGTTTTTAGCAAGAGCTTTTACTTGATTATCTGTAATCAGAACTAAAATATTAATTATTCTTATTATGCTATATACTGTCTCTCAAAATACAATCATCATATTTTATATTGATTGCAATACTGCAGTCAAAGTATAGAAATTTATCTGCTCACAAATAAAAATATTAGTGAGAAGATAAATAAAGATTACCAACTGGTCATTATTAAATAAAATTAAAGACCTGGTAAAGAACAAAGTTTAAATTTAAAAATCTTGAAGGTTAAAGCCCATAAAATTAATAGATTTAACAATCAAGTAGATTTATTTATTAAATAGGCTAGACAGGAGAATTTAATAACTTGGTATTAACTATCAGAGCTAAAAAGAGTCTTCACAATAGTCACAAAAAAAAATATACAATAGAGATTAGTATCAAAGATTTCATCAAAATGTTTAATAAAAAAATAATTGGACCAAACTGGGTAATACAAAAAAAGATTCGGGATTTTTGGATTCAAAATGATAAAGTCATAGATTGGCTAACCTTTTGGAATCAGTTCAATCTAACCAATACTTTTGATACTTTTTTCAAGATCAATAAAATAAAAGCTTTCTAACTAATCTATTCATAATAAACTTCCAGTCCTATAGATACTTAAAAAAAAGGAAATCAAATATATACAGTATACTATAACTACTTGTTTAGTATTCAAATTTTAAGAAGAGACATTAGGACATTTTTTTGAATATTTAGCTACTAGAGAAATTAAGGAAGATATATGATAGAAAACAAATGAAAAAATTCATAAATACATCAGTAAAGAAGTTAAAGATAAAAAAGAAATTCACCTGTAATAAATAACTGGACAAACAAATAATTGAAAAAGATTCAGAAATTTAACAGGGGTCTTTTCAATACTATTTATGAATATATGGAAGAAGATAAGACTACCTTTTTACAGAAATATCTCAAAGAGCAACTCAAAATCCTATCTGCAATTACATAGAGTAAAATCAATAAGCTCTATTAAAAGATGTGAGTAAACTTCAAAAAGAAGATCTGGAATAATCACTGTATCAAAGTTATAGAATAGAAAAAGAAGCAGAAGATTATCAAAAAAGATAAAAAAAATAAAAAATACAAGCACAGACTTAATATACAAACTGAATAGGATCAAGAAGCAGTATTATTACTTTTGAAGAATCTAAACCTGGAAGGCATTAAAGAAAAAGAAAAAAAGAAGTATACAATGATTATTAAGGATTGGATTTATCATGGAATCAAATAGTTTGGTTTTTAACTGCAAATAAAACTTAGAATGATTTACAGTAATAGCCTATAAATAATGATTTTATTAATTAGAGGAGTTATTCAAATTAGTAAAGAAGCGAAATATCATTTCCTAGGTTACATTTAGAAAAATAGTTTTTTGACAACAAGTGAATTAGTATATGAAAGTCACAACAATTTGTAAATATCTAGAATATATACAATAAAAACATGTTATGTTAATCTGACTGTGAATTAAAAAAAAAAGAAAAAAAATTTTTTTAAATATTTAAAAAAAAAATCAAATCAATTAAATTTAATGTATAGTTTGAATCTATTCACTATTTTAATATATATTGAAATAGAATTAAAATAAAAAAATCATTTTATAAAATAAAATATAGAATAAAATAAGGCTAAAAAGCTAAATCCGACGTATAGTTAGGCCTACTTGCTATTTTAATAATAAAAGAATTAACAATTAAATCCAATATAATTTTTAAAAAAATAAAACTCATAACTAAAACCGGAGCAGCCCGGGCATGCTCACTAATATTTTTAAACGCAAATTCTCCGAATCATATAAAGTTTTTTAAAAAAATTTATATTTTGAGAAAATATATACTTAAAAAAATGATTTTCTTAAGTATATTTTCTCTAATTATTGTATTTATATAATGTACTATTTATAATAACAATATAATACGTTGTTTTTTCTTTTAATGAAAAGATTACTATTTGATTTTATAAAATCAACATTATATAGCATATTTGTTCTGTCATTAAATACACTCTTAATCTTATGCGTAAATTAACTGAAAAGCAACATCAAAAAAAAAAAAAAAAAAAAAAAAAAATATATATATATATATATATATATATACTGTATATATATATTGTATATACTATATATCGTTTTCGAATAATTCAAAAATTAAAAATCAATAACTACATTATAAATAATGGTTTTCAATACATATTAATTGGCAACTACGATTCCACACACTTTAAACCACCGCTCAGACTTCAATATCACAACATAACAACACCAACATTTTCACTACCCATCTCCCTACAACGCCAATTGTACATGTAATAATTCAAATATCCATCACCAGGACCGAATCTAAGGTCCTCAATGAAAAATTTGTTTTCCAAAATATCAAGGCAATTAAATACATCCATATTTTTCTGACGTATGGTTTTAAAACGGTTAGTGTCTCAATAGTCGGAGATGGAAAACAATGTTAATAAATACCAACCGATTTCGCCAAAATCAACGCATCCTTCATCAAAGACTGCAGTCTACTCTTTATCGCCTTCTCCTCGGATTCTTGGACAGCGTAATAGAACAGGTATACGGCATTGACAGTTTTGTGAATTGGATTACCAATAACGGATGAGGGTAAATAATAAAAAGAAACAAAATCTGTAATTTTTTTTGTTTCGGGATTCTAAGAAGAAAAGAGCGTGAGCATTACAAATCGAAACTACGAGAGAAAGAAAGAAATCGTTAAAAAAAAAAAAAAACACCACCTCCACAACATAAGACCAGACAACATTTTCCTTGGTTAGAATCCAATGTTTGATATCTTCATCCGTCTTGAAAACTGCGACAAAATTAAATTTCTCCATATAGGCATTTAGTAGCTCTCTGACCTGAGAAACGTCTTTTTCCAACATTGGTCTAATTCCAGGAGTACTGGTCTCCGACGGCAGCTTATACTTTTTAATGTGACGCGACATCGGGGTATTGGATGGTAAAGCTGAAAATTTTGTATCGATCAACTTTTTTGGATTAAGTGAACGATGATAATACCTATTCGAAAAAAAAAAATTCAGGTGAGCCCACAGGTTCTCTTAATAAAAATATAGGGGAGGGAAAAAATTTTCATTACCGTGCTTTAGAAATAGGTTTTGGTAGAACAACACCTGCCGTGTAAACTGCTTGAAATATCCCCTCAAGATGGGAGCGTCTCGTAACCTCTTTGATCAAGACGGGCGCCAATCTTTTACTTCGAAGCTTCTTGTGGACACACAGAAAGTTGATTTCGACGAGATTCTGATGACTATCAGATGATTCTTATATCAGAAAAGTAAAATCCAATGACCTATGTCGCGATTGGTTGAATAACTTACGACTCGTAAATCCGAATGTCGGCCGGAATACCGCTAACAAATGCAACAAGACGTTTGGTGGCACTAACGCGAACACCTACGTGCCATATTTTCTTATATCCCGGTGGTTGAAGAGCCCTTATCGGTGAAATGTGAATTTCGCATTAAAGTCATATTACTATATAAATGGTAGTCAATTAATGAAAGAAAATTTACCACTTCAAAAATTCACCGGAGTAGTCAAAGCGGAACATTGCATCGTCATCTTCAACATAATTGTTTGTCAAAAGGGTGTAGAGCTCGTTTAGCTAATAAAACGCCTGAATCAGAAGAGTGTGGTACGAAAACGCGGTAACCATCTGTGGAAATAAAATACCTCGTTTTCGTTATTTAGTTCTAAAGTTGACCACTCAAATTCTTTTGGTAATGTATATGGTTCCTTCCGAATTTGGTCATATGGAGTGTTCTCCTCTATGGGGCCATCTTCCTCGATGATCTCACCTACGGCAAGCATCATAGTTAGAGCGAATATTCGTTATCACCTTGAAGAGAGCATGAAGCTAAGGAACGAACCGTGCTTTGGAACAGGTTGTGTGCTCCAGAATTTGTGAGAGCTCATGTCTTTCACTTTCTGTGAATTACTGTTAATAGAAGGTTGGATCGCTTCACGTATAGCCAATTGGTTAACCAGCATTCTAACTTTTTCTTGTAATTCTGCCTGTTTAGCTGCTGCGGAGGCGGGAGATATTTCCGTTGAAGAGCCGCCGGAATTTTTGGCCGCCTTTTTTTGTGCTTTTCTCATATTCCTTTTTTCTTGCTTGGCTCGCAATTTTTCCGCCGGATTGCTCTCACTTTCCCCGTCGTAGGTTTGATCGTTCATGTTGAAAAAAAAAAAAAGTTCCGAGAGAAATTTCGACCGGTGTCGAAGTTAGTTTAATTTATAGTCAGGTGAGTAACCCACGCATGCGTGATCTTGAACCTGACCAATTAGAACTGTGTGCATGTGCATGGAACGCGAAATGCCACGTAAAAAGCATGTGCGAATCATGGAGCTTTTTTTCGCGATCCACTGCGTAGTTTCGTATTGGGCAGAATTTCATAATTCCGCCCGAAATTATTTCCGATGATCTGCATGTTCGTCTTTCAAAATGTCTTTTATGGATTCCACTGAACGTCAGGAGTTGATTCAATCGTATGAAAATCAAATTGTTGAATATGACAAAAAATTTGAAGAATTGTTAACCCAACTTTCTTGGGACTTTAAAACTCTCGAGATTCGCCAACAGGTTTTTCTTCACTTTTCAGCCGGCTGTACTAAATTTGGGCTTTTTAAAATGAACGCATTATAATTTCGAAAGGAAGTCGACGCACTGAAGACGTGTCCCTTCAATCCCGCCCACAAAGTGCCCATCAGATCCTATGAACGACATTACAAAAGTTGCGAGTTAAAGCACCACGGAATAACTTCTGAACGTGGAAGGGTAATAATATTTTGTTTAAAAAATTTTTTTTTTCGAACGACCGACCAGCGACATTTATCTCTCATTTATATCGCCGCGCTTTATCACGGGAAGCGAAAGCAAGTGCCGAGCTCTGTCTTCTTCTACCAAAATTCATCGGTCGTATTGTCCTTGAATAAAGGTGGGTTCTCGGTCATTCCGTTCCGTTACGCACACGTCTCTGCATGCCTCATTGGTACAAATATTTGACATACGAACGTTAGAGGAATTGCAAAAAACAGCGGCTAATCAATCTGCTAATAGTAATGTGGGCCAAAGCTTGACAGTTAGTGAGAGACTCGAGGAATATGAAAAGGAGATGGCGATATTTAATCATATTCGTGAAGAGCGTAAACAACAAAAACGTGACGACTATCAAAACTTCGACGAAATTTGGGAGGCTGTTCAGAAGAAGAAAGGTAAGTCGCGCGTTGAGTGTACCAGAGATTCTCCATCAACAATCATCAACTTCTATCGTGAACCTTTCGAAAGGAGAGAACCAGGGATACAAATCACGTGCCGAGATTCTTGCCGAACAACGTGATTATAAACGTCGAAGGAAGTCGTACAGAGCCAAGAACATTAGAATTACGCAACGCACACCTACTCAGGTATATATATCCCATGTTTGTTCCATTTATTGTTCAAGCGGATAATTCAAATATTCTCTACTTTCATGCGCTGTAGGTACACCGTGACCTCATTGCAGCATACATGGAAGACTTTAAATTGTTGAGAGAATTTGAAATGGAATCCAAATCAAATCATTCACCTCAACGGTTCGGTAACCCATATTAAAATAGGATAATATATTGTTCGTAGGAAACAATGATTGTGTTGTTGAATGCAAAACAATGCCGTCACAGTTATTGTCTATGTAGATGTGATCACATAATAAATTATACTCTAATTATAAATAAATGGAATTTAATATCTTTTAACTTATGTCAAAAATCTAAACTTAATGATGCATGGTAAGTTCGCCCCGTTTTTTTATCCTTCGCCGCAGCCTTTATTTTCGTTGCCCCAAAGGTTAATGAGAATTCTATAAGCTTTTTCCCACCGTGTTTGATGTCTGACAGATCTACCTTGAGAGTTCCTAGATAACGATTTCCAGGTTCGTCACAGAACCTCACATCCGGATTTGACGAAGCATAAATGTCGAATGTCATGTCTTTTTGATACGGTCCTGACGGTCTCGCGATATATCCAAATACCTGATCAACTTTAACCTCAGTTCCACGTTTTACCAATGTGTGAAACACGTACATGAGGCCTTCTGGAGTTTTTCGTTGTGGTGGATCACCCTTTTTCCATTTATTCGTGACTTGAACCCCGTAAGTGTATTTCAATATCCTTGATCGCATCGTATTCTTATTTGCGACATATTGAACTGCCCCCCTTACTACCGCGGTGATGGGTTGTTTGGGAACTTCTATGATTTGGAAATAATGTTGAAATGTCTCTCTAACTCGCCTCTGAAAATACAGAGATTCGCTAAATCCACCAACGAGGAATAACGCGACACACCTTATATCAGGTGATATTTGATTTCCTATCAGGAAGATGACACTTTGAATGACCGAATCGAACATGGCCTTGACATCTTCAAAATTTAATTCCACTAGCCATTCCAACTTTTCCATATTCTTTTTGACATCACCTGTCGCGTAGTTCAAAAGCGAGGGGCAACAATCTTCCAGATCTATGTCAATGGGTTTAAATGTTGACGGATCTCCGGTAAATGAAAACTTGACTTTTACGCTGAATTCCTGGACGAGATATTGCATCTGCTCATAATGATAGGTTTGAAGTTGTTGCAGCGCTTCGAACAATCCAAACTTTTCGCATAGAAGCCGAATAAATCCCTTGTCAACGAATGTGCTACCGCAAACTTCATTAACATGTCGGATGATTTCACCCGATTTCCCATCGCTGGTAAGTTTGCGAATCGTCAGATCTACCATCCCCCCTCCACAGTCCACAACCATGAAGTTCTCTATATATGAATTAAAAAACATTCGTCAATGATGGAATGAAAAGAAGGCGAAAATGAAATGTGTGAAATACAACAAACCGCCAGCGGGTAATTGCTTGACCGAGGAAATGCAATAAGCCGCCGCAGCGTCGGCTGTTTAAAAGAGAAGAACCTAAGGATTAACGCACGATTTAAAATAGAAAAAGGAAGTAACAACGATATGACAATCCGCACGTTCGGACATAAATTCTAAGGTAGGAGAGGTCGAAAATTCCAATAACCCTGCATGCCAAGCACATTCGCGCAGTGTCGTCTTGGCCCCTTCTGAGAAACTGAGGGGAACTGTGCAATAAAAAGATTGCGTTGTTATTTACAAGCAAAATATCAATCGACCCATTCATATATGTATATACATACCCGTGATAACGAATTGAATATTTCGGTAAAAGTTAATTCCTGCCGTTTAAGGTAGTAAAAAGTGGGACAAGTGGATTGATTTTTTGATTTTTTGATATTAAGCTAACGTTTTACCTGGCCAGGTTGCGTCAAGAGTTGTCTTTATTATCTGAACGAATGTAATAAAGGTGATCAATAATTCGGTATTGGTTTCATTATAATTCGAAACTAACCTTTTTCATCTCGGAAAAGTAATCTACAATACATTTCCTGTAATCCAATCCCATGGGCAACGGAGGTTTATCCTCTTCTCTTGTATCGCTTAAATGAAGTTTGAATAGACCGACAACTATTGTTGTTCTACCATTTGGTGCGTCAGCTGACATTTTCTTCTTCTTTCTGTCGAATTTACAAGTGATAGCGCTTGTTCCCCAAGTAACGACCTTCCACGACTGAACATCATACAATAACATTGTATTGGTCTTGAAGGTACCTTGCGCTTGTTCTGACCACGTACTATTCGTCACAATTTCCGAATCGATGTTAGATGCGTGACAATAGGCAAACGAACTTGCAGTCGTGCCGAAATCTTAAAAAAAAAAACAATGTTGTCGTTGGAAATTAAAAAGAAATTGCAGGGTGACAACAAAAATTCGTTACCCCATACCTATTGCAACTACCGCAGAATATTGTTCCGCCGACATTGTTTATTGACTTTCTCTTTGTTCGCGCGCGGTTATGAAAACTGTAATTAAACACATGATTAAACTCCACGTTACACTACATGTATCGTGTTGCCAATAAAGTGTCGGCCATCTAACAACATTCTTCCGAGCTTTGACATTACTCTCTGTCTTGTTCCCATAATTGTTTCAAAGGCTACTTTCAATTTCCATTTTCCAGTGGTGTCTTTAGTGGTTGTTCGCAAATGAAGTTAAACGGATTTTCTTTGGAGATCCTTGTTAATGGTGAACCGCTCGCCGAATTCAGCGAGTCCGTGTCCAAACTCAAAGTATATAAACTCTGCTTCATGGGTCTAACTAATGTTTTGTAATATTATCCTTCTTAAATTTTGTTAGAATTATAATCCTTGAAATTTTTTTTTCTTTTTCCTTGTGAAACCAGAAGAGCATGACTACAGGACCTTCATACACTCGTAAGAGTATAACTGCGCCTGAAGATCCAAGGTATACCTTTTATGTGTTATTCAAATTTTTTGCTCAGACAATTGCTTCGATGTAAAACACCTTTGTGCAATCTAGTCCCGTGACAAATTATGCTGCTGTTCAAGAATTTGGCACAAGATATGCCGTTAGATTTTCCGCACCTCCTCTAAGTTGTAGCAGGGATGATCCTATTAAGGTTTTTTTGTATGTGGACGGCGAGTATGATTATTCTTACACAGATATTAATCCAGAGAAGCTTAATGAGACGCGCACATGTTTCTGGAGTAAAACTAGGGACAAAATATATTATTTCAAATTTAACCCGACAATCTGGTCAGAAGAAGATAATAATAGCTTTCTATCATCTGAAAAAACCTCTCTCTTTGGTGGCCCAGGCGCCATATCTGTTTATTTCTATCGTGCCCAACGTATTGCATGGAATGTCGCCCCTCCACCAGATTACAACGTCGAGCCAGCGGTCGTTCCGGAGAATAATAACACGAGGGCAATCAAGCTCTCAACGCAATATGATGTTCAATCTGTGCCCAACCCGTCAATCACGCGATTTGACACATATTTACAAGAACACGGTCCACCTCTGGCCGTCCTTCACTTACACTATCGTGCTGCGGCCTGGCTACGAGCACGTGGACATTATGTTCCATATCCTCGTAGATCGCAAGCGATTAGCGGGGAAAGGCCATTTATTGAAGTAGAAGACGATCAAAGTTCTGTGAAAATTAAACAGGAAGGTGTGACCATCAAGGATGAGCCGGATGTCGACAGTAACGCTACGAGAGCTAGCGCAAAAAGAAGGAAAAAAAGTTTGACCCCTGAAATAATTGTTCTTAGCTCGGATGACGAAGGTAATGCCAGTAACTCCAAAAAGGCGCGAATCCTTAATAACAACTATTGAAGGATCGAAACTTGAACTTCCTCAACCTTTGTTTCCAATGTGCTATTGTAGATATCGCAAAAAATTTTCACCATAAGTATACTTTCATTAAAAAACACCATACCATGCCATCTCGAAATCTCTTTATTTATTATAGGTTCAATTGTCAATTACTGTAATTCAACACCTAAATTGTAAACTTATAAATCTACCGACAAAATAAAATAAAATAAAAAACTCGAATGTATATCGATCTCTGAAAATTTTTCGCCTTAATATATTGTCAAGTGCCATGTCGCCTGTGTCTTACGCTGCACCTTTACTCTATATTTTCACATAATAAACACTTCTTTTCTGCCATCAGATTTATTTATTTGTTTGGGTGAGTTCTTTTTTAGTTTTTTTTTTAACCTGCAATCATGCTGTCATGACTAATTGAGTTGTTAAATTAAATGTACTGAAGAGAGAAAAGGAAAATAAAAAAACAATTCAAAGTTTTTTCAAAAGATTTTGCCTTAGTTATTAATCTTCTTTTGAAAGCAATATCCTAGTTGAACTATTTTTCTTTGCTTCTAATTATCTGAAGAATTTAATCATTCATAAATTTGAAATTTTTCTTTATAACCATCTAAGAAATTTATCTTTGTTTGATATAAAAAAAATTTGAATATACAGTATTTTTGATCTATACTATAAAATAAAAAAACATCTAATTGAAATAAAAAAAATTTTTTTAAAAAACTTTATCTAATTGAAACAAAAAATAAAGAGATCTTAACTTTATTTAATTAAATTTTTTTATTACTTAATAACTTATTAAAGTATATCTTAACATTTCAAATTAGAATAAACAAAAAAACTCTTTCCGCTGATCCACATTTTTTCAAAAAATTTCCTTTTTTGATAATTTTCTTGAAAAAATCACAAAA